TTTTTTTTTTTTTAGTAGTATATTGCATGATATCTATACCAAATTCTTCAAGATATGACTAATTTAACCAAGTCTTTATATAGTCATATTCAAAGGGCAACTCTCCGAAAGACGTTGCTATATATAGTACGTGTATACATATAAGTATGAACTTAGTACGTTTTTTTTTTAAAAAAAAAAAAAAAAAAAAGGAAGATGTAATTTTTATGGTTTTAAAATATGGATGTATTACTAGTCAATTTCGGTGGTACCTCGTTGATAAACAATTATGAATGTAACATTTATTGTTGCAAATGGTGACAACCTTTGATCCTTACCCAAATAGATTATGTAAGATTCGTTTGCCAACTTCAAACTTAAAGTCCCTCATAATAAGTAACAACAACAACAATAATAATTAGGGGCAAAATAGTAAACATACATATGCCTCTTTGCCCAAAATTTAATTTATTTATAGCTTTCAATATTAGCCTTGTATTATTTTTCTTTGGTGCAAAAGGTGATCGAAATTCCTCGCCCCAAGGCCTTACCCTGACTCTATAAAGATTATGAATGAGCTAAATTATCGTGACTCGATAGCTCATTAGGTAGAAGGACTCGTGTTTGATACTTATAAGGAACCATCCTCACAAGGAGTTGAAAGTCTCACACTGTGACTATAGGATTCGATCATAAGTGTTGGGTATTGTTTTTCTCTGCAGATAGATGAGAGCAGATGGAGATTCCACAAAATCAAGCTTCACAGCTTTATCAATGGGTACAGACAATATGCAGAAATACTGCAACTCACCACCACCAAAAAACATCTTCACGTTACATTAATCTGAACTCAATCCTTCTTGGTTTCTTCAATTCATTCTGCATCCAAAACTCTGATCATTATTACACCATTATTTCTGATTTTATCCGATGCTCTACTGCTAGCTGCTTCTCCAGCAATAGCAATATTCTTCTTCCTAGATATGATTGGTGTGTTGAAATTACTATCCAACTCTGGTTTAAGTTCTTAAGCTACATGTACCCGAACTCGAATATACGTATGTATAGGTGCTCGGGAGTTTTTTTTTTTTTTTTAATACTATTGAGTCTGTTACAATGTAGGGGCTTGGGAGTTGGTTCAAATCGAATGCACCTAAACATATCAAGATATGCACTATGAAACTTCATCTTACATTTGAAAAGAGGAAATTTTAATTTTGGTCCTATGACTATAAGAGTCTTATTAATTTCAGTTCCTAACTTTTAAAAGTGTCAATTTAGTACCTTGACTATGTAATTTTTTATATTTTAGTCATTCCGATCAAACTTCGCCAAAAAATTTTAATTGGTCAAATAATGAGAATATTTGTCACTACATTTTAAACATAAATTAGAGTTTTTGGTCATTCTAATTCAACAAGTTAACATTAGTTTGCCTTTTTTACCAAAAGAATTGGTCTCTTATTGGTCACATTATATGGCAGGTTCAAGTAAGAATAATGTTTTTTTTTTTTTTCTAAAAAATGTGAATTAATCTTATTTGTACATCTAGTTGATTAATGGCTGAATAAAAAAAAGAAAATAAATATGGCATGTAGTGACCTCTCATATGGAAGGTTATGAGATCGAGCATCAGTGGAGGCGTTGTTGACTCTGTGTGCTTCATTAGGTTGAGAAAGTATGTTTAAACAAATACTACAATGTAATAGAGTTAGTAGCATTAAAAAAAAAAAAGAGATAAATATGGGCTTTACTTTATAAATATTACAAACTTTGATAAAATTGACTATTTTTTTTCCCTTTCCATTGATTAACCCAGATAGACGGATAAGATTATTATTTCACATTTTTATGTAAAACTGTGTTCTCATATGATCCTATATATCTACAAAATATAATAAAACCAATAATGTTAGGGTTATAAAGGAAATATAAATTGTGTTAGTGTAATAGATTGCATTAATAAGTTGTACCTAAACTCTCTTTCTTATATTAATATTAATACAAATAATTTTTAATGAAGTTAACACAATTTTTTAGTTCTTTTTTATCTGAACATCCTTATTTGGTCTTAGTATTATTGTGGCATAACAATGTTTGGTTGTCCGTCAACAAAATCGTTGAAATGTTGTTAAATACAAGAACATTTCGATCTTTTTTATACAAAGTAGATTGACCCGCTATATTTTTTTATGTTTTTTTTTATTGAAAAAATTCATAATTGAAGACCGAAATGCCCTTGTATTTAACGAAATTTAAATTGTTTTGTTGATAGAGAACCAAAAATGGTCATACCACAATAATACTATGATCAAAAGTGGATGTTCTAAAAAAACATGACTAAAAGTGGACTGACACCTATAAATTTAGGACCAAAAATAAAATTAACTCTTTTTAATGTTTACCCTCATCTTTTAAGTTTTTCTTTAACACCGTTAAATCTAATATGGTTAACTTATAATTAATTGCAATTAAAACTTTGTTAATGTAATTAGTTAGAGTTTTTTGCACTTTTGGTCCCACGACTATGGTATCACTAACAACTTTGATCCATGACTTTTAAAACTTGTAGAATTGGTCCACGATTATGACTTTCTTAGCAAATTTGGTCCTTCCGGTGCATTTTTCGGTCAAGTTTTGCCGAAAAATTTTACTTCCCATTTTAACATGGGTAATATTGTCTTTTCCATCTCACAAACTAATGACATAAATAAATAAATAAATAAATAAATAAATTAAACACAGCCAGTGGTACGGTGATTGAATTAAAAGTCACCCAATTCCAATTCCAATTCCACTTTCAGTTTCACCCTCCTCGCTAAACGCCAAAATTTTTTAGTTGTTTATTTATTTATTAATGTAATTAGTTTGTGAGATGGAAAAGACAATATTACCTATGTTAAAATGGAGACTAAAAATTCTTGGCAAAAATTGAACGAAAAATGCACCGGAATGATCAAATTTGCTAAGAAAGTCATAGTCGTGGACCAATTCTACAAGTTTTAAAAGCCGTGGATCAAAGTTGTTAGTGGCGCCATAGTCGTGGGACCAAAAGTGCAAAAAATTCTAATTTGTTAATATTGTGTTACTACAATATTTGAAAGAAATACTACTTCTCTCCCGATTAGGGTTCTCTCTACTTCTCTCCCGATTAGGGTTTTCTGTGTTTTTCCGATCGCAAGCACGGTGGCAACACGGTCTCGGCGAGGTTCTGACGGAGTAGACAACACCGCACGCCGGCATGGCATCTCAGGGTGATGGTGGTGTGACGAGAATGACAGAAAGATGGGCCAACTTTGTGTTGCAGGATGAAGAAGAAGGGGTGATGGCCGGAGGGGTTGGGCAGCCGGTCGACGACGAACCAGAGGTGGTCTATTCGGTTGTGGGCAAGTTCTTGACTACTAAGCTTATTAAGGTCGAGTATATGAAGCAGGTGCTCGCGTCTGTGTGGATGCCGGTCATGGGGATGAAGGTTACGGAGATGCATGCAAACTTGTTCCTTTTTGCCTTTTATGATGAAACGGACATGATACGAGTGTTTGAGGAGGGCCCTTGGTCATTCGAGAATCATACCCTTGTGTGCAGACAGGTTCCGGATGGAATGCTTCCGGGGGAAGTACGATTGGATACTGTGGACATGTGGGTGCAAGCTTACGACCTACCGATTGGATATACTGATAATACAATATTGGAGCAGGTGGGGAATTATGTTGGGAAGTTCATCCGGTGTGATAACCGACAGGTTGGTGGACCGGTAAGAACTTTTTATCGGGTCCGAGTGGCGGTATCGGTGGACAAACCGTTGAAACGGCGAATGAAATTGATTCGTAGGGACAAAACGTGGGGATGGGTTAACCTGAAATATGAGCGATTACATAATTTTTGTTTCTACTGTGGGATGCTTGGCCACCTGGAGAAGTTTTGTTTGAAAGCACTAAGGTCCGGTCTCACTCCGGAATCCTACCCATATGGACCATGGATGAGAGCGGGACAGAGTAGGGGTCCCAGGCAGATTGGCGCGGCGTGGCTGTTGCCGCCAGTGGAGGGAGCAGGTTCGGTTAGTGGCTCACGCCAGAGGGTGGAGGGAACAGCCTCCTCCGATGATAGCCAGAGTGATATACGGATGGCGGCTTCAGATGATGATGTAGCGGAGGGTGTGGTGGCTTCCTCGAAGCGCCGCCGTGCGGTGGTGGGTCAGGTTGGTGAAGAAGCGGTGGTGGATAGTGGTTCAAAAAACTTGCATATGGCGGGAACTGGAGCCCAGTCCCGCCCGAACCAATGAGTACTTTGAGCTGGAACTGTCGTGGCTTGGGTAATCCACAGACAGTTCAGGAGATAGTGGATATGGTGTCCCGTAAGAAACCCGATTTTGTATTTTTAATTGAGACTATGGTGGCCCGGGATCATGCAGAGAGGCTCCGGGTGAAAATTGAGTTTGATGGCCTTTTTTATGTTGACAATGTAGGAGTGAGAGGTGGTATGGCACTACTGTGGAGGAAGAACAATACGGCTAGTTTATTGAGTTATTCAAAGAATCATGTGGATATCGAGGTGACTATACAGGATTTCAAAAGTGGAGAATGACGGGGTTCTATGGTTTTGCACAGCGGTGGAGGCGGAATGAGTCATGGGAGCTTATTAGATCATTATCACATCGATCTCAGCTACCATGGGTCATGATAGGGGATTTCAATGATTTATTGTACCAGCATGAGAAACGAGGAGGGAATCCGCATCCAGAGGCACTTTTGCGGGGGTTTGGAGAAACCATAGATGAGTGTGGATTGGCCCAGTTGCCAATGCAGGGGTACCCGTATACATGGGAGAGGGGTGAAGGGACTGTGGACTGGATTGAAGAGAGGCTGGATAAGGTGTTGGTAACACAGGAATGGCGTGATGTAGTTAGGGATGCCAGTGTCTTAAACATTCTGACCCGATAATCAGACCATTCTGCTTTCTTCCTTGGGATTCTGAATCTTCGGGAAAGACGGAATGGAATGAGACGAAGGTTCCGCTTTGAGATGGCTTGGCTACATGATGAGGGTTGCAGGGGGGTTGTGGAGAAAGCCTGGTTAGAAGGGAGGAATAAGGGGCTACAAGGTTGTATTCAACTCTGTGGAGACAGACTATCACGATGGGGAGGGGATAGATTTCATAAGTTCGGTGAGCAGGCAATGAATCTTCGTAAACAGCAACTACGTTTACGGGGGTGTATGGATCAGGCATCATTAGCAGAATACCAGTGGTTGGAGGGGTGTCTGGATCAAATTGAAATACAGGAGGATGCGTATTGGAAACAAAGGGCAAAGCAGCACTGGCTAAAGGGAGCGGATGCGAATACAAAATTTTATCACAGGTAGGCTTCTCACCGTAAAAAGAAGAATACACTTGTTAAAATTATGAATGATGATGGGGATTAGGTGGAGGGAGAGGCTATGGGGGCTGTTATAGTTGATTATTACAGACGTATCTTTGTTACGGATCATACTGAGAGTGATACAGAATTTTATGAAAGTATTATGCCACGGGTGTCACAAGCACAGAATGATGACCTGTTACGGCCTTTTGACAAAACGGAGGTCAAGGCTGCGTTGACAGCTATGTTTCCTGATAAGGCACCAGGACCGGATGGAATGAATCCGGGTTTTTATCAGAATTATTGGGATGTGGTGGGTGAGGATGTGTCAGAATTTGTTGTGAATTGTCTGAATACTCGTTCTTTCCCAACTAATTTAAATGATACTGATATAGTTTTAATCCCCAAGAAGAAGAATCCGGAGCTAGTCTCGGACCTCCGACCAATAGCGCTGAGTAACGTGATTTATAGAGTTATGGCAAAGATGATCTCAGCCAGGATGAAGCCCCTTATGAATGAGATAATTTCCGATACGCAAAGTGCATTTATACCTGACAGGCTAATAACTGATAATATTCTGGTTGCGGCGGAGGTTGGTCACTTTTTAAACAGGAAACAGTGTGGTATGACGGGATGGGGTGCATTGAAGTTGGATATGGCAAAGGCATATGATCGTATGGAATGGTCATTCCTACGTAATATGTTGAGGGCGTTGGGCTTTGATGATAGGTGGGTGGAGCTACTAATGTTATGTGTGACCACTGTGTCTTATAATATTTTACTGAATGGTTCTCGTAGTTTGCCTATTACTCCGATGCGTGGGCTTAGACAGGGTGATCCTTTATCCCCATATCTCTTTATTATCCGTGCTGAAGGTTTATCATTATTGCTACAACAGGCGCAGTCCCAAGGAAAAATTCATGGTTGTAGAGTTGCGAGAGGTGCACCGCTTATATCCCATTTGTTTTTTGCTGATGATAGCTTATTGTTTTTTAAGGCAAAAATTCAGGAAGCTGAGGTAGTAAAACAGTGCTTATCACGATATGAAAGATTATCTGGCCAAGTAGTCAATTATCATAAGTAAAGCATCTGCTACAGTAAGAACACGAGAGATGATGACAGGAATGATGTGGCACATATTTTAGGTGTGGACCAAGCTCCCAACTATGGGAAGTATTTGGGGCTACCCTCTTTTATAGGAAGAAACAAAAAGGCAGCCTTCTCGTATATTGAGGACAAGATCAGGCAAAGGGTTGTATCCTGGAATAAGAAGCTGTTAACACAGGCTGGCAAGAAAGTTTTATTGAAAAGTGTGGCTCAAGCTATGCCTACTTTTTCAATGAGCGTGTTCTTATTGCCAATGGGGATATGTACAGCCATTGAGCGAACCATGAATCGTTACTGGTGGGGATCTGGGAATGACCGTGGCATCCATTGGAAAGCTTGGATAGAATGTGTATACCAAAGAAGTATGGGGGTTTGAGTTTCAAGGAGTTACATGCTTTCAACCTGGAAATGTTGGGTAAACAAGCATGACAATTACTCACTAAGCCTGAGTCTCTAGTTTCAAAAGTTTATAAAGCCAGGTACTATCCTAAAGGGACTTTTTATGAGGCGTGTGTGGGGAATAATCCAAGCTACTGCTGGCGCAGTATTATGGCATCCCATGATATGATATGTAAGGGGATCAGGAGGAGAATTGGAAACGGGGATACAACTTTAATATGGGACCATCCATGGTTGCAGGATCAACATGAGCCAAAGATTCAGACAGAAAAGCCTGTGTTTTTGAATGGTGCGACTGTCAAGGGTTTAGTGGACCCGGAGACACAGACTTGGGATCCAGATATATTGACAGATATTTTTGATCCCATTGATATACCCAGGATTTTGAAAATACCAATATCACCAGACTATGATGATATGTGGTATTGGTATGGGGACCAGGGAGGAAACTATACTGTGAAGAATGGCTACAGAGCTATTATTGGAGAGCATGACCATACTACGACCGGATTTGATAATTGGCTAGGCCTATGGAAGCTCAAAATACCTCCCAAATGGAAAACTTTCTTATAGAGAGCATTGGGTGATATCCTCCCCACTATGACAAATCTGATTATAAAGAGAGTGGATATACAACCAACATGTGCAATGTGTGGAGTGACTAATGAACACACAATGCATGCTCTAGTATTGTGTGACTATGCTAAGGCCATTTGGAGTCAATCCCACCTTCCAATCCCCATGAACAACACAAATATTTTCTATGATTGGTTTAGTGAACTATTAAATGTTTTAGACACTAACCAAATTATCCACGCAGCTGCAATTTTGTATTACATTTGGAGAGCCAGAAATGGAGCGGTGTGGGATGCATGCCTCCCACGTCCGCGAAAGGTGATTGCCGCAGCCGCTGCCGGAGTTCGTGCATGGTAGCAAGCGCATTCTGTCCGAATCCCCATGCTGGCGCAACAACCTGCTGTCTCGGTCGAAAACACGCTGGCTGCACCCCATCTTTTGCCCACGACAGAAAATATACCACCGGTACCGGAAGACCATGCGCCGGGCAAATGCTTTTTCGATGCCAGTTTCTCGCGACACACGGGGATGGCTACCGCTGGGGCGGTGTTGTTGACTGGAGGAGGAGAGTATGTATCGGCTTGCACTATACTATTACCAGATTGTCAGTCCCCACTTATGGCCGAAGCACTTGCGTATAAGGAAGTACTATCATGGTTATGGGCTCGTGGAGATCACTCTATACAATTATTCACGGATTGCTTGACACTACAGCAATACCTCTCACACTCAGCGACCTCTCTTCGGTCGTATGTTGGCTATGCCATAGATGCCTGCAGGGCGCGTATCGTTTCTTTTAATTTTTGTTCAGTTATTTACATACCTAGATCAGAGAATTATTTAGCTCATACTTTAGCTTTACCTATTCCATGTTAGAATGCTACTATGTATTGGGACTCTGTCCCGCCTCACACTATTTCGCAGTATCTTGAATAAATGCCATGACGGCTCCTTTAAAAAAAAAAGCTTTCGTACTTTCTTGTACATTTACAAATACCATCTAATTTTATCATTTTTTTTTCTTAGTTTTGCCTACACCATTTCAATTCTAAGAATTTGTTATTATTATTCTCTCTCTTTTTTTTTTTTTTTTTTTTTCCTTTTCTATGGGTTGTATTGAAATTTATTTTTTAATTGTATTTCTTAACTGCATAATTTTTTTTGATATAGTTTTGGTATATATAAAACTTTTTTTTTTGAAAGGGTATATATATAAAACTTTAAACTCAAATCTTGTAATGATTAAAAATAAATTTCATATTTTTTTCTTTATTTCTTTGAGTTTCAACAAAATAAAGTAGTTTTTTAGTCAACTACATATAATGATATATTTGATAATGTAAATTGTTGAAGTTTGCACAAAAATGATGAGAATTTCAATTACTTACTATATTATATGAATATTTTGTAAGTATACAATATGATAAATAGATATAAAATTCAACAATTTAATTACCAATTATATGTGACTATTATAGTATTTATTTGTTTTGATAAAGTAATTATACAATTACTTTTTAACATTGGACATTTATTTAATTACGCAACACATTTCATTTAACTTTTGTGTGTGTGTATTCTAATGAGAACATCCTTCTCCTATAAAATGTGAGGACTGATTTGAGAATTGAGATGTCCATTAGAGTTCATTAATCATTGAGGTTTTTTGTATTAAAAAAAGCACATGGTCAATTTTATAATTATTACAAACTTTCAAGTTTGTAATATTTATAAAAATAGCCTTGTTCTTTTTCTCCTTATTTTTGAGTAATCCTCAATCATTGATTTGCCCAAATAGATGGATCAGATCAATCCTCATTTTTAAATGCAAGTATGTTCTCATTTAAACCCTCTCATATATATTTAATATTCATTTATGTTTGGATAACTCTAAATGTATTCCGATTTCAAATTTGAAAATTGTTAAATAGAAAAGTACCAACATATTGTCATTTCTAATAACATTGGTAGAGTAAAAACATAAAATATAATATGTAATCATAGTGGTGGATATATAGATATATAAACAATAGTAGTGATACTAAGATAAGTAGATATATGTGGTGATAGAATATGTAGGTGGTGGTAGACGATGTATATCAATAGGTGGTTGGGTAAATGACACGAGTAGTGATTATACATGAAGTTATGCATGTATGGTTTTGTATTTGGAAACATTTGAAAAATTAAACCAAAAAGAATATTTTTCATATCCTTCGATAAATTGAAAAATTAAAATGGAAAAATCTTTCGAAATAGGAATATGGAAACTAGTAGTGCTAAAAACTCTTCTTTTATTTATTTATTTTTGTGTGTTTATGTGTTTTTTGTTTTCCATTTTTCAGAAAAAAAAAAGATTTTTTTTTTCAAAAAGTAAACACACCTTATAGTCAAAGCATAATGGAAATTTAATTTCTTTAGCATTAGAGTTTGATTTTTTTTTGTTGTGTCAGGGTTAATGATGTCACTTTTAGTTCGAAATTGATGGACTGTCTCGATAAACTTAAAATCGATTAGTCCGATGGTCTAAATGGGCAGTTCAAAATTTAGTGGGCTAGCTCAATAGCCCAAGCCATTTACATACAGTTATTATATCGTGCACCGCGGTGCATAATCGATTATGCACCGCGCGTTAAAACGGTTCTTGAATTTCAATTACATTCTCTGTTTAAATTTGTTTGGCATTCTCCTTCATCTTTTATACATTATCCATTTGTTTTTTAAGAGTTAAAACATGAATAGAAAAAGGTCCAAGGTGATGAAAAATATGGATGGGATATCTTATGCATGCATAAAAATTAGGGTCGGTGGCCTGATTGTTCGGCTCGCGATTTACCTCAGCAGTGGTTCTAAGAATGAGTTTCTGTGGGTTTAGACTTAACCTAATAAAGTTGAGATCACCTAAGCATAAAACAAAAACAA